AACAAAGTTATAATACCCTTGTGCACAAGTGCGCTCGGGTATAAAAATGTCATTTCTCAAAATCGTTTGCGTATGGATATTCGTTTTTTGTGACTTCGAAATTTCTTGCTACTTGTCAAAAGTGTTTATATTTTATTTCGTTTTACACGCCTTCACAATCTTACTACAACTGGCTACGACAATAAAATCGGGACAAAATCGCAGCATCCTCAATCGCTAATCAAACTCAGAGAGCTAAAAACGTTCAGATTAAAGAATAACAGCGAAAGTGGCTACAAGCAATCGCAGCACTCGCACAAAATGTCAAAGAATTATAGCTCAAAAGAGGAAGCCATCAATCAATTGTATGCGACAATTAAGACTAAATTCGAGCAGGATGGGGTACTGCAAGAAGTGCGTTGCATGCTGCAGTCCAAGATGGTTGCCATGATGAAGGGAAAAAATGATGATCAGACCACGCTACTTGGTCGTCGGCAGCCCGATCTTAGTAAATTGAGCAGTGGTGGCAGTAATCGCGCTGCGGGCGATATGGAAAATGCTGGAAGTCAAGAACAAGATCCACGCCTGCATTGGATGCATCAGCTGATGATGGAATACTTTCATTGGCATGGCTTTCATTATACTGCAGAGATGTTTGCGCAGGAAAGTGGTACGGCGAATGTGCGACCGGTGCGTCAGCAACTTGAACGCGCTGTCGGGCATTTCGAGCATAAAAGTGTTCCCGTATTACTGGAGCTTGTAGCTGATCTTATAGAGAAAAATCAATATTAAGTAGTTGGAGAAGATGAAAAAGAAAAAATGTCGAAAGGAAAGTTGGAAATAAAAAGCGGATGTTTGCATTAGAAAGATTGCTTTATGGAAATATAGTAGCATAACTTATGTAGCTTCATGCACATGCAAATCAGATATTTTTTAAATAAAGCGGTGGTACTATGCTTACCTTAAAATGTCATGTTTGAAACTGTGTTGTACAAGTAAACCTCACAGTTGACCAACGAGAAGTCGATGCTTTATTTTTGCATACACATAAGGGACCCTGCTTCCACTTCTAGGGTCTCAGAAGCACTTTTTCGATTGATCTGCGATGATTTTCAGCTCTAGATAGCTTCGTGCAGCGATCCTGCTTTCAAAATCGTCTTTTATATAAATCGACCAAGAAGTGTTGTATGTCTATTTGTTTACTGAGTGAGATTTCTAGGCTTTGCTGTACATGAAAATCAAATCAATGGTCAATCTATTCCTCTCAGAAAATTTCGCTCAACAACTGGTAGATGCGTCTCATGGCTCTACACAGCCGGCTTTGAACAACTACGTCGATACTGCGTCGGCTTGGGGGCATTGTTTTAAACCCATATTTTTGCTATTATTACCTCGTCGTCCTACTGTTAAACTATCTGTGTGGACAGAGCCAGTCTCGAGTTCCTCATCGTGCTATAGCTTCGGCATTAGCCATTCCCAAGAGATCACATTCTGCTCGTATCTATACTTTCTTGGATTCCAAAAATGGTTACTGGTCCGGACCAGTTTTTATTATTTTCCTTTCGGATTTTTAATGTTTAATAATTTTTTTATTAAAGTCTAGTTAATTATATAATACTTAACACCATAATAGAATGATGATAATGCTTAAAACCATATAGATCCACATTAAAAACTTTGTAGAGAAATAAAGAAATCCACAACAACAAACTTTGTACTCATAGTTTTTAGAAAATTTTCAAGTATGCAGTTTTGTTTCTTATTAATAATAAAGTGCAAGTTTCAATACATAGCGTTGATGTTTGTTTTTTTTTTTTGTCGACGGTGTTATTATCTTCTTCCATATAAAGTAAATTCCTTGTTTACAGTAGAGTTTGTCATTCATACCGACCAGTTAGAATTTAATGATTGTTTTTATCCAGACCTACTTTTTTCTCTTAACATATCTTTCTTTGGATTTGAAGAAGTGTCTAACGAAGATAAAAGGCGAACAGCATCTTTTGTGAAACAGCTGACAGCTGTCAAAAATGGACTGCCATATGGCATGCAAACAGCGGAGTGTGACAAGAAGCAGAAGAATAGGGGCAAACTTTTGAAAACGATAAGCACGTGCACACAAAAATAAATAAAGAAATGTGCGCAACACGTCGATGGCATAGATGGTTGAGTGTGGCTGCAGGCAGAAAAAACCAACTGAGCCAGCTGTTGCAATTTCCCAGCAATTGATACAATACAAAAGTGAGTTACCGAAGAAGACAGACCAAGTCCGGGCCAATATTTGCGTGCAACATGTGAATGAGAAAATGTGTTGATAGCAAATTAAATAGCCAACAACAAAGTTTCTATATGCATGTTACTGTTGTTATTGGTAATGCCGGCTCCCATTGATGGTCTGTACTGGCAGCAAAACGCATACTGTCAATAGTGGCGCAGCGAAGAATCGAGCGATTAATTAGCTGCAACATTGCGTACACTGCGTTGTTGCAACAAGACGTTTGACTGCTTTGTTCAATTCATACATATGTACATATATTACTATTACACCGTGAGACAAAAACAAAGAAATGTCGAAACACAGCCAACACTTAGAATACTCACGAAACTATGGGTAGTATATGTAGTAAACTGCGTTTTTTCGAAAGGACTTTGTAGTCTGAATTTGTAGATTAATTCCAAAAATAATTAAAAAATTCAGTGTAGAATAACAATAGGGTACCAAATGTATGAAAAAATTTCGTGAATTAAAAAAAAATGTGTGTTTCACTAGTACGAATAGGTATTGAAAATGTCCTTTTAATTAATTTAAATTTTTAAGTTAATAAAGTTAGAAGCACGAATTTCAGGGGTGTGGTTGAGTGTCCTTAACATATAGTTTTTCAAAAATAATTATTATAAGATTTCAAGGATATTCAAGGATAAAATTTTAATAGGACATTTTCAGTGCGCTCTCGTCCTTATACACCAAAAAATCTGCTACCATATTCGGGCCATGGTTCCGCGTATATGTTGACTTTTTCTATGTGATATTATTTGTATAGCCATGCGTGCGCTAATATGAACAACTTTTTTAATGGCCGTAAGGCATGCAAAAAGCTCATAATCAACTTAGTATTTAAAAGGCGGCAACATTGCAGCAAGTTTAGTTGGAAATTATGCCGTGTGTTTTCCACCATGTGCGTTATTGTGCAGCAATTTTTACTTTGTGTGTTATTTAGTTGGTTGCGCGTAGCGAATCGCTTTATATCTGCTATGAAATGAAAGCAACGCCAATTGCCAAGCTGCTGCTTTTTCTGCCTATTTTTACTTAATTCAATTTTCTGCTTAGCTAAAGCAGCAACTACAAGACAACTTTGTTATTGTGTGTGACCTCATCCGATTTAGTTTAGTAGGATTTTTTTCTTGCTTTCTTACTGTTGCAACATAGCGTGTTAGAAAACTGGAATTGTATAAAAACCTTTATTATTCTCATACACAAACATACACCCACGTTGATATTTTTTCCGAGTCTACGGGCGTGATTCTCTTTCCGCGTTGGTGTGTCTTCGATTTGTCCTGCTTTGTTAGCTTGCTTACCTTCGTAGTGATGCCCAATTCACGCTTTATTTTTTCTATCACACTTCTTTGTAACCTATTCGAGTCATTTCATTTATCGTTTTTGTTTTCATTGTGTGCGCTGTAATCAAACCTTTCTTTTTAACTTGCAGCTATTATTAGAATATTTATGGCGCCTTTATTTACTAACTGTTCCTAGATAAGTTGATTCGAAGATACGAATACTTTTGTCACTTCTAATTATTTGTTGGTGTGTGCCTTCCTCTGTGAGTTGTTCGTTTAGAAAGCGCTTTTTTGGAGTACTTAAGAGTGCGATAGGCCCCCACTGTAATTGACTTTTGCCATGCCATTTAAAGAAATCAATGCTTGGTTTTGAGAAAGTTTTTCATATTTTTTTTTTTAATATGTATTATTAAAAATAAGGATATATTGGTGTTTACACATTATGTTAGTGTATGGACGAGCTTCCCCTCCGACTTGTGGCGCGCGCCAAGATTTTGTCACACAAAGAGGAGGGATGTTTTGCCATTGCCTGTCAATGGGTGAGCGCAGTTAGAATAAACATTTTCTAATTTCGGTGTTGCTCGGACCAGGGTATCACGCACCTCTAACCATTAAGCCACAGTGCCCGCATATATACAGGGCGTCCTAGACCACCTTGTAATATACAGCCTTTTAAAATTTTACTTAAGAATTTGAAGTTGTTTTAGCAAATAGCAATTGAAAAACTGCTCATCCGCAGCTGAAAAGGAGTAAATACCAGCTTGCTGCAAGTGTAGATTAGTTCGACAGGCTCGTGTTGCTCTCCCAGTCTTGTTGTATAGCATTTCGTTTTTAGTTTTCCCCCATAGCTGGTTTTAGTTTTCATTAGCTTTTTCGGCCGTGGGGAGAGCAAGTGTGAATTTTAGATAAATGAAAAAAATTTAAATAATCTGCGCAATTCCCTGACTAATCTGTTTCGCTTCGAAGAAGAGATAAGCCTCTCGATTTATTAATTCTACCGATATTGCTATTGTGTATAAACTTATGATAAAAAGGTTAATATTTCATATGTACCCGATTGCTAGATGTATACCCTGCATTTCTTGGTGAACATTTGAATTGATATTTTAAGCTGGTTGAAGCGCTTAAACAGCCGTGCACACAGTCCTGGATAGATTAAAACTGTGAAGAAACTACCAAAGGTGGCAGCATTTCCAAGGCTTATTATTATTTTTTCTTTGGTATTGAAATTTAAATTTATGTATGGGACTGCTGTTACTTAAACACTACTTATTATTAAAGTGTTAAATGCTTTCAGAAATGTTTTCGTTTCCACTGGCTAACAAAATTGAAACTAAAAATCCCATAACAACTTGGAAACAGCGTTGAAACCCATGAACCAACGACTACAGATCACCTATTGAGCCATCATTGTATTTGTAATCGATTTTCAGAAAAAACTCATATATATTATTTTTTATAATGCAAAGTTGTCTGCTGTCCTTCCTACTTTCTTAATTACAAAACAAATTGGTGACAGCTGAATGAATTTGAACAAATTAGGAAAAGTCATTGAGTGCCAGAGTTTTGCTGCTCCCTTGAAGCTTAATTACATTACATTAATTCGATTACATTTTAAATGTTTGAATGTGAAAGTGCATGTTCGGCGAGTATAATTAAATGCATATTAACTAAATGCCTAATTAGGTAACTGCGTGTATCTGTGACATTTACACATTTCAAATGTAATTGGAATAGATTGACTATGTATTAAAGGAGCCGGTTTATGAATTGCTGGTAAGTATTAAGTATATTGAATAAATGTTAAACCAATTAAGAGTAAATATCAAAAAAAAAAGTGAGTGCGCCTGGGCCACACTGGAGAAGTGAAACTTACGTTATATATCTAGTTTGTCTCATAAACAATATACGCACGTACATACATCTGCTTTTGCATAATTTTTGTCTCTTTTCTATCTATATCTCTACCTCTACCCTGTCCGTTCTAATTATGTTTAATTATTACTCACCTTTACTTTTATTCTTGTATTGGTCTATTTCACCTGAGTTACAGATATTGTGAGATGACTCCATCCCATCGTGCTCGCTAGAGTTACTGGGGTACTGGCTTGGGCGTGATGTTGAGCTTTACTGCATCGTTTTCGATCGGATAATGACCAGCAAGAACATCCAGCCGTAATGGAAAAAGTGGCTTGTTCAGTTTTAACAGCTCCTCTAGACTTCCACGGATGAACTCG